GGCCCCCACTCGCGGGGGGACACCCGGACCCCCATCCCCCTCCCTGGAGCCACATTTCCCCTCCGGGGCACGGGCACCATCCTCTCTCGGAGACCCGTTTCTTCTTCGGGACCCGGGCGTCCCCTCCCGGACCCGCACCCCTACCCCCGCTCCTCTCTCCAGGGGATGCTCCCTGCTCCCCCAAGCCAGAACCCTCCCAGCCCCGATCTGGACCTTCTCTCAGGCCGTCGGAGCTCCCCCAAATCTGGCCTCGCCCCTGTTCCCTGAGACGCTGACCCAGCACCCCATAAACCCGCCAGACCTTCCCCTTGCAGCCCCACAAAGCCGGGCTCTGCTGAGTCCCCAGCAGTTCCTGCTCCAGTGCTGGGTCCCCCATGGTCCCTCTGGTTCCAGACCAGCTGGGCAGCCTTGCCACGGCAGGAGAGGAGGTGAGCTGAGCCAGGTGAAGGCACAGGCAGCTCCTTCTCCAGTGCTGCAAAGCCCCTGTGATGCCCAGACCCTCTCCTGGCTCAAGGTATCCAGGGGGGGTGTGTGTGCTCAGGACAGTTCCTGACCCAGTCCCTGAGTCTCTCAGGCCAGTGGGTGTCCCAGGTCCTGTGGGTTCAGGAACAACTCTTGGCCCGCTTGGGTGGAAAATCCAAAGCCCCTGGGTCTCTTTTTCCCTCTCTGGTCTCCTTGAGTGCTATCTGGGACAAGGTGAGATGCAGGGGAGAGTGGGCCAGGAAGGGAGGGGGTGGGGAACTGCAGTGTCCCCCAGCCTGAGCCTGATCCCTGACCCCACTCCCCCTCCCACCCCCGGACCAGTGCAGCTGGAACAATGCAGGGGGAAACCACAGCATTTCTGGCAGGGAGGGAGGAAAATGTCATTGCTTCACACATGGAAACTGCTTGTCTCAGGGTGGTATTTTTAGGTGGACATGAGTGTTTTCCAGCCCCACCATCTTCTCGCATCCCTGTGGAGCTCCACAGAAGTGCTGAGCTGCAGGACCCTGCAGTGCCTGGGACAGGTTAATGGTAGGCTCCCCCAGGGGAAGGAAGGACCCAAACTGGGAAGCTGCAGCCAAACTGAGAAGAGGGATCCAGGGGCTGTGTGCCAGCACGGCCATGGCAGTGATGCCACTGGAGGTGGGTGCACCCAGGGTGTTTCTGTGTCCCCTGCAGTTCCCAAGGTCTGAGCACACTAGGGCTGCAGATCCGCCACTGCCCCACCAGGTAGCTGAGCCTGTTCAATGAGCTGGCTGCTGAGTATCAAGGGAGCCTTCCTCCCACATGCTCCAGGGGAGAACCCTCACCCTCCTCTCCAGCAGAGGAGGACCTGGTCTAGGGCTATAAGGCAGGCTGAGGCCTTGTTACCCTGGCCCCTCACACCCCTTTTCGCAAAGGCACACCTCTCTAATGCAGCTCATGGAGGGGGAATTTGTCCCAGCCTTTTGGTGTTGGCCAGGACCTGTCTCAACTGCTCTCTGCTGCCCATCTCATATTAAGTGAAAACTTGCTCAGCTGGATCATTTTGGGGTGGCCTTTGTCACCATTTCTAGCTGGCAAGGATGCACATAACCCCCTCCATGATGAATCCTGCTCCCCTGAGAGGAGGAAGGAACAAGGTGTGTTGGTAGGAACAAGCAACAAGGACCCCAGGGTTTTCCAGTTCCCAGCATCATCCTCTGCTTGTGATAACGGGGTTGTAGCTCCAAGAAAGAATGGGTTGCACGTGGACATGAACGTGGTGGAGTTCTGAGGCAGCATGCAGCAGCACCAGCAGTGTGCTCAAAGGTCCCTTTGCATCTGGAGGTCTCTGGCTAATTCCCTCCACCACAGCCACATGCCTAGCAATGTGGTGAGTTAATGTCTCTTGCATTTTTCCTTGAAATGATCATTATCGACTGACAGAAGGAGAGAGACTGGCAGGCTAAGATGCATCCACAAAAATATCCCCCCTAAGGTCAGTTTAAATAAGTCTCTGTCATCGTTGGGAGTGCTGCGTGGGAGATCTCAGGTCAGCTCTGCACCACGGCTAGTGCAGGGGTGGGCCTTGCTGCTCCTCTCCTGCCACAACATCTTGTCCCCTGGCAAGGTGTCACAACCCCAGCTGTGCTCCTGGGCACCTCCTCACCCACACCAGGCCAAGCCCCCCAAGCCATTAGCCTGGTCCAGGCAGGCTACAGACCTTTGATCAGCAACTCAAGCCAGAGCTGGTGACTGAACCCAGCAGGGACCCTCCCCACTTTCTCCCCCAGCGCTGGCACAGAGCCCGGCTGCTGTGCTCAAGGCCATTGCCCTCTCCACCCCATCCCCAGCACCTCCCTGGAATGTTCCCTGCCTTTAACACCATGTCAGGGGACACAGTGAGCAAGGGCTTTGCTGGCAGGGAGAAGCAAAACGCAGGCACTCAGGCTATGGCAGGTGAGGGTGGAAGCTGCCGGGATCCCAGAGGAAGGTCGAGGGGGTCCCAGGGCCAGAGGGGATGCAGGGCAGGCACAGCTGCTTCCCCCAGCAGCTGACAATCCTTGTGGGATGCTGAAACGTGCCTGTAGACCCGTGGTGCTGGCAGGCAGCTAATCTGCCTTCTATGCTCCCCAGGCTGGTCTCAGGGCGGGAGGAGATTAAAGCTGCTTCCCGACGTTTGCCCCAGCCCATGTCACCCTCTGATTTCCTGGACAAGCTTATGGGACGAACATCAGGGTATGATGCCCGGATTCGACCCAACTTCAAAGGTAAGGGGAGGACGTGAGGCCCCCAAACCTGACAGTGACCCACGCTTATGGCTAAAATCAGGGAATGGGAAGGTATGGGTGTGGGAGCAGGACCTTGAACCACATCCCCTGGTCCCAGCACCCTCCCCAGAGTCCTGGTTGCTCCTGCAATCTCAGCTGCCCTGCTGGGGGCTGCAGTGCTTGCAGAGGTGCTGGTGCTCAGCTCAGCACTCCACGGGGGTGACCCTGCTGGGCAGGAGGATGCTCGTATGCATTTATCTGCACAGCACGTGCAGGAGGAAATGTCCCCATGTGTGCCTCGGGCTGTGCACACGTCTCCCTGGCCAGCAGTGAGAGGAGGCTTCGTGCTGTTTTCCAGGTCCACCTGTCAACGTGACGTGCAACATCTTCATCAACAGCTTCGGCTCCGTCACGGAGACCACCATGGTGAGGGCTCCTCCAGTGTGACGGGTTCCTCTCCCAGTGCCTTGGGGCTGGCAGTGGCTTTGCTGGGGAGTCTGTGGGTCCCAGTGCCAGAGTCCATGGGGGTTCTGTGAGCACTTCTCCAGAGCCACCCCTGGCACCATGAGGGGGACATGCACAGCCCTAGCAAATGGCTGTGGTTTTCCTGGGGTCAGTTAAGCAGAGCTTGGCTCTGTGGGTCACATTGCCCATGCCTGAGATGGGAGAAACACCCTGCAGGGTCAGAGTGAGGCAGCTGGTGGTAGCTCCCTGCTGCTCACAGGCTTGGCAGGTGCCATTCCCTGGCTGCCCACAGCGTGGGAAGGCTCTTCAGCTGCCCCTGCCCCGTGCATGGCTAGTGTCAAGCAGGCAGCACCTGTAGGGCTGAGCCTTGACAAAGAGACCACCTTTCCACCTATTCCACCTCTTTTTCCTCCATCTTTTCCTCCTCCCTCTCTTCCCTGGGCACTCTGGGCTGCTCCTGGCTGACCCGGTGCTCCCTGCCCCAGGACTACCGGGTGAACGTCTTCCTGCGGCAGCAGTGGAACGACCCCCGCCTTGCTTACCGCGAGTACCCCGACGACTCCCTCGACCTTGACCCCTCCATGCTTGATTCCATCTGGAAGCCAGACTTGTTCTTCGCCAACGAGAAAGGGGCCAATTTCCACGAGGTCACCACTGACAACAAGCTGCTGCGCATCTTCAAGAATGGCAATGTGCTCTACAGCATTAGGTAGAGCCCTTCCCCTCTGGTGCGGTGCTGGAGGGGGAAGGCAAAGCTTTTCTCTTACCTCCCACGGGGCAGCTTTGCCCTCACAAAACTGCCCCAGCCCCCAGCAATCACTTCCTTTCCTCTGCTACCTCTAGGCTGACGCTGATCCTGTCCTGCCCCATGGACCTCAAGAATTTCCCCATGGACATCCAGACGTGCACCATGCAGCTAGAGAGCTGTGAGTACCTAGGGGGGGTTTAAGCTGTAGTTTGCCTCACCAATCCTATCCCTTCCCATCCCAAAGGCTGGAATCTTCCTGCCTCAGAAGGAGATGAGCAGAAAGGAGCAGTCATTCAGGGTGGGGATGAATAGGGTGCATGTAGCCCCCATCCCATGGCTCCCTCCATCCCCTCCAGTTGGCTACACCATGAACGACCTCATCTTCGAGTGGCTGGAGGAGCAGGAGGCTGTGCAGGTTGCAGAGGGATTGACACTCCCACAGTTCATCCTCAGGGATGAGAAGGACCTGGGCTATTGTACCAAGTACTACAACACAGGTGAGCACCTGAGGGACCCTCTGCCACCCCCTTGCCATGGCCCAGGCATCCCTCTTGCCCATCAGGACTGTCTCCCCACAGGCAAGTTCACCTGCATCGAGGTGAAGTTCCATCTGGAGAGGCAGATGGGTTACTACCTGATCCAGATGTACATCCCAAGCCTGCTCATCGTCATCCTCTCCTGGGTCTCCTTCTGGATCAACATGGATGCAGCCCCAGCCCGGGTGGGCTTGGGCATCACCACCGTGCTCACCATGACCACACAGAGTGCTGGCTCCCGTGCCTCCTTGCCCAAGGTCAGCACTGGCTCCACGCCAGGCTCACACACTGCAGCTTGCCCAGCGCCCCCAGTGTGACCACTGCCAACCCCAGTGCCCCAGGGGCAGCCTTCCCTTGGGAATAGCTGGCTCCGTAGCTTTGCTACCTGGGGCACCACGTGCTGAGGTGGAACACGGTGCTGCTGGGCCGGGTGGGCTCAGCTCACCCGTGTGTCCCAGCTGAGGGGGCTCCTGTGCCCCTTGGCAGCAGGGCAAAGCTGGCAGTGGGGCAGGGATGAGCGAGGTGGGGGGCAGAGGGTCCCTGAGCTCCCTCTCACTTCCCAGGTCTCCTACGTGAAGGCCATTGACATCTGGATGGCAGTGTGCCTGCTCTTTGTCTTTGCTGCCTTGCTGGAATACGCGGCCGTCAACTTCGTGTCCCGCCAGCACAAGGAGTTCATGCGCCTGCGCCGGCGCCAGCGGCGGGCGGGGGGGGGGGGGGCACCCTTCCCCCCCACCT